ATATTTACATTATTGATTTTTTACTTGGCGTGTTACCTCGTGTGTAATTTAATCTTTTTATGCTATAATGACATAATTCGAAATAAGATCAGTGCTCTTTGGATATTTATTGACTTTGCTCATCTGGTCTACATGTACTTCGTGAAATATCGGATCGATGTCTAGCTACTACTTGCTGTTCAATTACTAAACGATAGTGCGTCTCAGATCGAGTGACATTAAGTCAATGGCTTTCAACGTTGGCACTTCTCTGTGCCAGGATTGCCCTCTGTCTCTTATATCCCCTGTCCTGTTTGTATAGTACGTAGATAAAATAGTGCTGGTGCTCAGGAGCATAGGGGGTGACGAGTATGTCAGAGTAGGAGATGAGGAGGCGGAGAAGTTTCCTGTTTATAGACGACCTTGTTTTGTTGACATCTTCTGAAATTTATCTGAAGCACTATCTTTAAAGGTCATAGCCGTGTGCCACATAACTGGTATGCATGTGAACGAGTCTAAAAAGGAGGCTTTGTGCTGTTTCGCTTACCTACCAGTTGTGCTCTTCAAGTAAGCGAAGAATTTCAATTATCTAAGGGCCGTTTTTACTTACGATGGAAAATGGGAGGAGGTGATCGAATATTGCATATTGGAATATCCTGTGGCGTTCTGGGCGAAGTGGTCCAATCCATTTTGACCAAAGCAAAGCTCAGTCTAAATACTAAGCTATCGGTGTTCAAGTCGATCTTTGTCCCCATGTTTTCCTACGGTCATGAATTGTGGACCACTCGATCCCGAGCACAGGTCGAGAAATCACTCCTGGGATGGTTTTGGAACGTTATGAAACTGAAAAAATTAAACAAGACTGAAGCAGAAGACCAAATGGGACCTTGTGCAAGTGGCTGTACTGATTATGCTGCAAACTTGGCTTAGTCTCTTCTGAAGCTCAGAAGCTAACACAGCTTCAGAGGATCGAGAGCGCTAGGCATCTGTCTGATGGGGCTGAATCCGCGACCAGAAACAAAGAAGGGTCACTGAAACTGAGGCATTGATATACTGACTGATTGATTGACAGACTCGTTGACTACTACACGGTTCAAATATCATTGCCATTTTTCCCATCTTTGAAGAATGCACCAAGCAGTACCTGTGTCTGTGGGTTTCACAATCAATGAAGGTTTCGTGCGTGAATGATTAGCCGGGGACAGTTTCCTCAAAGCCTCGTTGTGCAATCATATCACAACTACTAGCAGCATTTGAGACTATAATAAATAAACAGGAGTACACTTCAACAACACTTGTTTTGTCCTCTCTCCTCATGCCACTTGCGATTCACTGTCTGCTTTAAGAGGTGAACGAGGCCATTCTTTGAAAATTGGCTGCTGGTGCAACTTCTATCTGCGAGCAAGTTTAGCAAACTTTATGTGAAAATGCAAGTACATGAAGCGATTCTGCGGCAGTGTTAATTTTTGCCTGATTTATTTGGCTTCAGACGGTGTCTCGCGACGCTTGAAGCTGTCGGAACCAGATTAATGCGAATGCGGTGCCATAAATCTGTTGCTTGTGCTCGACGGCTTGTTTTACACTAGCGAATTAATTTCACCTTCGCATAATGCAAATTATCTGCATAATGACTTGCAATGAAGTTTGCTTGCTGATTTAGCAATGATACTGTAAATAAAAACATGTGACTTGTTGATCAAGGCCAGCTAATCTACCAGCGAACGAGCCGACTTAACTTTTTTCGCAGAGAGCAACTTAGCAGATCTTGCACTTTTGCTGAGGCCACATCTATCATCAGATAATGTTCAGATCATGGATGCATAGAACAGGACTTCTAAACATTTTTCCAGGAAATAAAAAACATTAAATCGTGAATTTTTTTTGAGCTGAAAATAAGGTTCTATTATGGTAGGAGTAAGGCCAAGAGGGCAGTGGCAAGAGGTCGATTTCGAATGCCAGAGTCGCTGGTTAACCGCTAATTTCCTTGAGGAAAAATTTCACTCCATCTTGGTTTGGTGCAAACAGCCAGGAAAACGGGTATGTCGCTGATATGAGAGCAGTTGCGGAAGCATATTGTTCCAGTGTCGTTAGAATGACTGCCTTTACACCAGGAGAGAGGTATCTAGACTTTCCGGGTCGCTTCCAGGCTGCTCCATTGATAGGTCGACGTGCGTTTTGAGGTTTTATTCTTACTGGTCATTTTTTTTAAATTTACATGGTTTTTACATTTGTTTATAACGGTCGTTCATTGAACGGTAGCCAGAGAAAGAATTATTAGTGCGAATCATTATGGTATCTTACTTTACAGCATCGCTCCTTTGCTTTCAAATGTTTGGCAATGGGAGACTAACACTACGTGGTATCTGAACAACAACACAACAGCATCACAGCTGGCGTTAAAACATACAAACTCGTGAAACTAATAGCGATGTTTTACACCGTAAGCAGAGAAGTATTATGTTCTTAATTACGAACAGCTAGAGCGGGATTGACTACATTTTCGAATGCTTTCATGATTTTAAGAAACGGCATAACTCGATACTATCCGCATCCAATCTGATCGCTAGACAAAGCTTTCGTCGTTGATTCGCAGGTGTTTTTTGTCTGGAAGCCCGACTGCACGCCATACAGTCGGTGCTAGGATTTGTCGTCTGTCCACCGGCCCGATGCACATATGTCTCAGGTGACGTGATGCAAATGACAGAATTGCTTACCTGACCATATTCTGCAGAGACCTTGACAGAAGTCTCTAACCCCCCCTTGACCACTCAATCAGGCTTGTTGTAGGCTGCATCGTGATTTACCATTCACTACGAAAAGGAAAAGTCATGATTGATTGAACGCACAATCATTGACCACTGACATACTAGAATAATCAGGCGTCAGATTATGAAGTCTGTTTCTGTAATGCATTAATCCAGCCATCGTTAACGCCAGCTGTCTTGTTTTCAGTTGATTGATCGCTCATGAGACCGAGGCACAATTCGCATTATCGATTCTTATTCGATGTAGAATATCATTGAACGTTGCCAAAAAACGCTAAAATTAATTTTTGTGCTTTATTCATAAGTTTTTTGTTGCAGGACTATTGAAGACCATGGGTTCAAATCAGGATCTGTCAGTAAATTCGTCTAATTCAATGATGCTGCACGTAAAATTGTTTTTTCATACCATGTATTAGCCCTAAATGTGTTTTAATCGCTGCGTGGGTCAAACTTTGCTATGTTCGAAACGGCTGAGCCACCAATTTTTTTTGTGTTGTTGAGTCGAAGAAGAGGGTCTATGTCAGTCATCATGGTAATTAGACGAGTGAAAAGACTCCATTATGGACATTACTTACTGAACAATAAAGACACAATCTATTATTCTATCCAACAAATATCGGCAGTGTGTCTTTATCTGAAACTCCAACTTTGCAGTCCGTGTTTTTACACTCATTTTGGCCTTAAACCATTGAATCAGCTGATGCCTGTTATTCACTGGCATCGAATCAGTTTCAGCTTCTGAAGCCAGCAAGGTCAACTCCATCAACGTATCCGTAACTGCGTGACAGAGAGGCTAATTGTGCATGTACAATAAACAGTTCTTATACATAGGTGTCTTCCTCTAATCAAGCCACACCATACGCCACTTCATTTTGTTCGTATGGTAATCACTGATACATACGCAATAACTCCAGCTGCGTATGGTAGTGAATGTTCGGTTACATATATACTCGTGATATGAAAAAAAT